TTTCTCTATGTGGAAGTAAATTGAAAATGAGAGCAAGATTAATGGCTCTAACCATGCTCAACATAAAAATGTGGCCTCAACTTTGGAAGGGAACTGGCCTGGTCAGTTAGAATTGAAAGGATTTAAAGTATTCTTCAGGATGAGAACTAGGTTATTCCTGCAAGCCACCTGTGTTCATCTGATTCTCAGTTCCCTGTTGCTGTTTGCAGTCGGGTGAGTGTGTTAGGTGTAGCACTGCCAGGGCAGGACAGTGGAACTCCACAGACACTCTGTGTTGGCATAACATGCCAGTGGGTGGCTTGCTTGGGAATCTTGCCCCAGAAACATTACCAGAAAAGTCTGCAGCAGCTGGCAGTTCAGTAAAGATTTTAGGCAGGAGAAACATGAATTGCCATCAATTGCAAGGTTTTGGGTTATTCTTTTTGTTTTCTGTCTTATCTTTAACAGTCCCTTTCCCCTAGCCTTTAGCAACAAGCATGATGTTTCTCCTGTCCATTACCTGCTCACTCACATTTGTTCTTCTTTACCTGTGGGTTAAGCTTCTTCCTAGATTCTAAATCTTTGTGTTATTTTGTGATGGTCATCAAGTGTAAGGAAAGTGGAGTCCATGAAGTGTGAAGTAACCCACCTTCATAAAGACTAAACACATTCTACTTTTTACCTGTGCGACCTGGTGTAGGGAACCTGCTTTGGCAGGTGGGTTGGACTCGATGATCTCTGGAGGTCCCTTCCAACCCCTACAATTCTGTGATTCTATGGGTGCAGACAGCAGGAGTATGAATTAGAGCATATAAGAGGACTGGGGAAGAAATTTGATTGTTCAAGGAATTAAGGAAACAAGTTTTCCCAATGAAGTAATGTATCAAAAGTTCAGGTCATTTTGTCAAAGAGAAGACAGCTTCTTATTTGATATTTTCTGACTCAAAAGAGTTGTTTGAATGTTAGAGTGCACTTTGAATTTTTTTTACACCAACTGTACTGGTGACTGTGAAGATGCTTCTGTCAGGGCATGTAATAGATTATCTGAAAACCTCAATTCTTTGGCTTTTCTGGGATGCTTATGTTATTATTATTTTCGATTATGAAGCTCAGTAATTTATAGCATTCTGAATAAGACCCAAATGTGCTTTTACTAACCTAAGAACATTTGTGCATAGGGTAAATTTTAGGAAGTTATGTGGTCTTTCTTTCCCTTTCCTACATAGGTTGCTGTCCCAAACCTTAATGAAGCTGTACAGGATGCAGACTTGCTGGTTTTTGTCATTCCTCATCAGTTCATTCATAAGGTCTGCGATGAAATCACAGGACGAGTGCCCAAGAAAGCTCTCGGTATAACTCTGATAAAGGTAAAGCAAGTACTGTGCATAAAAAACAGATAATATGTTGTGGATTTTCTAAAACCAGATAGTTTGCAGTTTAATATGAAAACCCTGTGCTACTCCCTAGATTGTTTCATTAAACCTTTTGAGGTGCAAGACTGGAATTTGTCTCAGTCGTTAGTGGAAGAAGAAAATGAGGCTGTTCACAAGACTTGAAAAGAAAGGGGAGAGGAATATGTTTTGCACCATCAAGCTTTGCAGTCTGTTATTTCTTGTTTCCAAATGCATCATTAGATGGAGAGCAGAGCACAAGCATAATGCTTTGATTGTTAATGCTCATCCCACACACTGAGTTAATCATTTTAAGAACTACTGGGAGAATTCTGTGTGACTGAGCTCTTGTTCATATCATCGATTATGTTGCAACAACAGAGATTATTCAGCATAGCCCTAAAGGATTGTTCAGACATGGGAACTTGGAGTGGGGCTGAGATGTAGGAAGTAAGTGTTTCATTGGAGGCTTTATGGTTTTGGTGATAGAAGTTTTAAATGTTTCTTCTCTTGTGTTGTGTTTTTTTTTAGTTCCTCTGAGGTTATCAAGAATGCTTTCTACTTAGTTAAGAGTAGACCATTTTCTCAGCACGTATTCCCTTGTCCGCTATCATTTTTGGCAAACAATCAATTGATGGATCATTTAGGGATCAAAAAGTTCAAAAAGAAAAAAGAAGGAAAAGTACAAAAAGACCCTATGACTGCTGACCACAAGCTTGTCTTTAGTTTGACTAAACCCATCAAATTTGTGTTACTTTGTCAGTGCTGGCTTGATATATTACTGAGAGGTATGAAAAAGTAATGCTTCCTGAGTGCACTTGCTGCATTTTGTGGAAAAGCTTTCCATATGGTAGAAGGATAAAATGAAGCAGCATTAAAAGAGCTGAAT